TTGAGCGTCCAGCTTCAGCTCAGGTCATGATCTCACGGTTTGTGAGTTTGAGCCCCGCGAAGTCTCTGTGCTGACAGCTCAGAGCCTGGAGCCTGTTTCAGATTCTGTGTCTCCCTCTCCCTCTGCTCCTCCCCCGCTTATGCGCTGTCTCTCTCTCTCTCTCTCTCAAAATTAATAAACATTAAAAAAAAAAAAAGAAAAAATGTACCAGAGGCAGATAAAGAGCTAGGTAGATGTGATCTATGCAACTCAGATTGTCATTGTTCCCTAGGCAATAATAAAATTCTTACAAAATAACAACACAGAAAAAAACCAGAAATATGTCAAGATTTGGAGTGAGGTTCAAAGAAAGAAATATTTGCAATTGAACCTCTGTCATTGGGAATTCTAGATAATGTATCTGTGTTAAGTTCTAAAGCATATACTTGTTAAATAAAATTCTTCCTTCTTTCACATGCTGTTTTCACCCTGCATTATTATTATTATTATTATTATTATGCTTCTAAAATAACATCAGCCTCAATGTATATATATCATGAAATGACCACCCAGTTATGAATATTTCTATATATCTAAGATAGAGCAAGCTTTTGGATAATTGAAATTTGTTGCATGAGTTAAACATGTTTTTGTTATTCCTTTTTGCATCATTTCTCCCTTTTTAACTCTTACCCTTACATTTTCTGATTCTTTCAGGGACACCATGTTTAAGATATCTTACCTGTTGCGATTGTAGGCAGTTATGAATTGTCATTATTACAGTGGCTGCCACTTCAATAAAACTAGGAAAAGAAAACTCTTTCCCTCTCTATCTGCTCCTATCCCATGTGTACATGCATGCGTTATCTCCCTCAAAATAAATAAATACTAAAAAAAAAAACCTAGGGGGCAAACAACAATTTCCAGTATTTCCCTAGTTGGAGGACTTGGTATTGCAAAAAACTGTGTTTGGATTAATTTTTTTTTTAATATTACTGGTGTGATAAATGCCAAAAAAAGAAGATTGCTGTACTTTACTTTGGTACTGGATTCTATTAGTCATTGTACTGTATAGAATGCCAAGTTGGGTAGATTATAGTGTCATTTTAAGGTATTGAAGTCTCCTCTTAATTGGAAGGAAGTTTCTACTTGTTTCAAAATACAAGAATTTTTCCTTTAGGCATCACACTGTTATAATTTATTTAAGTATTCAAGTGGAAATAATAGATTTGCTTTCTTGTAATAATTTTACTCATTTCTACTTGGGATTATACTATTAACCTTGGATTGCCATGCAACAAAAATTACTGAATTAAGTGTTGAGCTACCTGAGTTTAAAGTTTGCCTCTGTCAGTTATCAGCTGTGTAATCATCAAGTCACTTCTTTGGACTGCTTTTTCAGAGCTCTAAGATGCTATAATTTCATCTTGTTTATAACACCTCTTTTTTTTTCTGGCTGGAAATTGTTTATGTTACTTGTGTTTTGTTATTTAAAATTACCACAGAAATACATCAAAGATTACCATTTGGTAATAACTATACTTAATTTAAAATGACTCTTTTGGGTAATTATAAATATATTCATTTTAAAAATAGCACTTTGCAGTGCCTGGGTGTCTCAGTCCATTAAGCATTTGACTTCAACTCAGGTCATGATCTCATTGTTCCTGAGTTCTAGCCCCTCGTCTGGCTCTGTGCTAACAGCTTGGAACATGGATCCTGCTTTGGATTCTGTGTTTCCCTCTCTCTCTCTATGCCCACCCCCCACTTATGCACACGTGTGCATGTGCGCACTCCCTCTCTCTTTCTTTCTCTGCCCCCCCCCGTCAGAAATAAGTAAATAAACATTTTAAAAAATAGCACTTTAAAAAAATAGCCTGGTTGGAATCTGACTCTTGATTCCTGCTTAGGTCGTGATCTCATGGTTCGTGGAATCCAGCCCTGCATCGGGCGCTGCGCTGGAAGTTCAGAGCCTGCTTGGGATTCTGTCTCTCCCTCTCTCTGATGCTCTCTCTCTCTCTCTCTCAAAACAATTAAATAAACTTGAAAAAAATAGCACTTTCATAAGACATATACATGGTTAAATAAGAAATTTATTGAGAAATACAACTATGCCATTGTGTGATGGTATCACCTCTTGGCTTTATGCCTTATGATATTAATTACAGTGTGGGTATGAAAAACTTGCAATTGATGCAATCATATGAGAGGTTTAAGGATTTAAAGTATTAATCAGAAATGTTAAATTATTGTATATCTTCAAAAGAATTGCAAACATGAACTTAGGACATTCACATATATATTTCAAAAATTAATTCAATGGTTAGATAATTTAAAAACCTGGTCGTAGTTGACTTCTATGCAAAAAAGAACCCCAATTACTGGTAGCAGTTTACTACTAGATAAAGAAACAAACTGAATTGCTACTTCATTACCTAAAGATGGGTTGAATGAAGAAAAATAGGGGAATGTGTGAAGGCCTTTTGGGGATTCTTAGATGTTATGGGACTCATGAGTAATTTCAATATTTCCCCTTTGATATTGGTTATTTGGATCACCTTATTGAAATGACCTTATTGCATAAATTATGCAAATTAAAAATAGATCAGTAGAGAAGGGAACAGTAATTTATCCTTTTTGTCAGTTGTTTTATCATTTGTATTATCTAGTATAATTATGAGTTTCAATCTACCCACTTATTTGATTAAAACAAATTTATTGAGCTTTAATGTAGTACATGTTGTATTATTTTTAATTAAGTCAAGAAAGATGAATAGGACAAGGCTTTTACCAGTTTTGTGATGAATTGTGTCAGAGGACAGAAATTAAAGCATAAAGAACAGGAATGTCACAGAAAGGAAAGATGAATATGTAAAGAGCTAGCTTCAAGGTTATAGGTGAAACCTGGATAAGTGTCAGTATTAAGGACTCTTCATACTGATGTTCTCAAACTTTAATGTGTGTATAATTTGCTTGCGGATCTTGTTAAAGGGCAGACTCTAATTCAGTATGTCGAAGTGAGCATGAACTTCGACATTTCTGGCAAGCTCCCAGGGGATGCCAGAATTTATGGGCCATGACTGATATTTTGAGGAGCAAGGCTCAGTACTGTTTTTTGGAAGTAAGAATGATTATATGTAGGTCCTACTCTTAATTATTTTATCTATCTTAAATTTTTTTATCCATGCGTTATTCAACCACTGTTTATTTAGTGCTTACTTAGTACCAGATACTTTGCTTCCTGTGTACCAGAGTTACAAAGGTGAATAATTCATTGACTCTGGCAGTAAATTCAGTCAGTAACTTCAAAGATTTTTTTCTTTTTTTGTGTATATGTGTGGAGAAAATATCTTTATTTTTGTGTGTGTTTTCCTTTTTCTTTTTTTTTAAATTTTATTTAAATCCAAGTCGGTTAACATATAGCCTAATACTAGTTTCAGAATAGAATTCAGAATAGAATTTAATGATTCATCACTTACATACAACACCCAGTGTTCATGGCAGCAAGTGCCCTCCTTAATGTGTAGGGACTGCATTTAAAGCCTTTTCCTGGATATAGTCTTTTTCTAACTTATTCCATAATGTAATTAGAACATCCTGATTAGCAGTACATATAGTTTATAAATTTACTTCCTTTGAATGACTAATTTAGTCAACGCTTGGTTATCTAGGGGTAGATTAAACAGTATCAATTGGCAATGTTATTAAATGACAGTGGACTCAGTATTATGAAGAATTGAAATGAGAGTAATTTAGGAAGACATCAATGTATTGGACATCATTTCTGTTTAGAATTATTGGTACCTGTTCTAATTTGGGAATGTTCCTTGATCTCAACAGTCAGGCAAAATAATTTGTGTGAATGGTGCCTCCATTCTCTTTTAATCTTTCTAAAGAGCCGTGGTCTGAACATATGGATTACACATCTACAGGAGGCTGTCCTATGTGGATAAAGATTTTTAACATATTGGCCGCAAATACCATTGTATTTATATTACTTTTTTTATTAAAAAATTTTTTAATGTTTATTTTTGAGAGAGAGTGTGAGCAGGGAAGGAACAGAGAGACAGACAGAATCTGAAGCAGGCTCCAGGCGCTGAGCTGGTGGCACAGAGCCCGATAATGGGCTTGAACTCATGACCTGAGCCAAAGTCAGACACTTAACCGACTGAGCCACCCAGGCACCCCATATATTATTTTTGAACATGTAGAGGTCATCTTTGTAATAGTAAATATGTTGTGAAATAATTGATGTAAACTTTCAACTAAATTCGTTTAAAGTAAGTAATTTATACCATGTTTAATTTCACCTAGGATTTGGGGACATCTGAGATCTTTTACTCCCACTTTTTTTATGACAGTTAGAAATTCTTTTTTTTTTTTTAATTTTCTTTTTTTTGAACGTTTATTTATTTTTGGGACAGAGAGACAGAGCATGAACGGGGGAGGGGCAGAGAGAGAGGGAGGCACAGAATCCGAAACAGGCTCCAGGCTCTGAGCCATCAGCCCAGAGGCTGACGCGGGGCTTCAACTCACGGACCGCGAGATCGTGACCTGGCTGAAGTCGGAGGCTTAACCGACTGCGCCACCCAGGCGCCCCAGAAATTCTTTATATTATACAAACATGTATGTACACACATGAGAATACTAGAAGTAGGAGGAGTCCAGGTGTAGCATTTCAGCTATAGAAGCATATAAGTTACGAAAATTGAAATGCTCTAGATAAATCATAATTGTGTGACATGTATAAAGTGTTGAAAAAAATCATTCTGATTTTGGAGAACTTATTTTTCCTATCAGAAAGTTGTGTAATTTAAAAGTAAAGAACTTGTAAAGTACATTTGTTATGTTTTTATCTCTCATAGATAAATTGTTAACAAAATATTGCTAGAGGAATACAGTATTAATTAGAAATACTAATTTTCCAAGTCCTTAACTTAAGCAGTAACATTTAACAGAGAGTATTTTTTATTATTATTAATTAAACATTAGATATTTCTGTGGCATCTTTTTTTTCTTAGAGAACCAGAGGACGAAAGCGAAGCTTCATTCCTGAGGAAGAAAAACATGAGGTTGGAATAAGTTAAGCATTTTTTACACAGTCTAAACTTTGAAAAACTTTCTTGCTTAAATTATTTCTTTTTTCCTCATATCCAGATTTTGTTTTATGTTTTGTTTTCTTTTGTTTTCCCTTGTATGGCAGGAAAGAATTCCTAGAGAGAGAAGGCAAAGGCAGTCTGTGTTACAAAAGAAGCCTAAGGCTGAAGATTTGCGAACTGAATGTGCAACTTGCAAGGGAACTGGAGACAATGAAAATCTTGTCAGGTAAATGGGATGCTGAGACTTTGTCTTCAGGGCATTAAGGTTCCATCTTCATCATTTTCTCATCACAGATATAATGGGGGAAAAATCACAGTATAGGGCTTTCTTAAAATCTCATTTAGTGGAAACTGTAGTTCAGAAACATTTCATTCTCTTACTAACCTGCCACACATGGTTATTTTCTGGATTGAGATGTAATTAAGAGTTCAAAACCTGGATTTTGAACACAAGAAACAATTTTCTCTTGACAAGAGCACTTGACACAATGCTCTGTATATAGAGGCCACAAAAACAATTTGATTTAAACACTTAATACTAAGATTATTACTTTATCTCATAAAACAGCAAAATTACTAAGTTGTTACATATTATAAAAGCTGAAATTTATTAGTAATAATGTTAAGACCAACACTTGTTTATTGACAAGAGCTTCATTAGCACTTCCTTACCATTTATCAAAATGAATGTGTTAAATGCTTCTCTCTTATGAAATAAAGAAAAGTGAAAAGATGGCCTAGGTAGATTTTGTTTTTTGTTTTGTTTTCTTCTTTGTTTCTTTGTTTTGATTTGGTACTTTTTTTTTGTATCAGACATAATGCTAATCAGGAATCTCAGCTGATGTTGCACAGTGGCTATTCCTGAGGGTGCAGAGACTGTTAATTTTAACCTTTTGTTTCTTTTGTTGAGATGAAGAAATTTATTTAAAACCCTAGGTGAGATGGAGGAGTAGGTGGCATGAAAGGAAACCTCATTTAAAAGAGGTATCATTCTTTCAAAGTACAGTAACAAAGAGTCTTTTGGTATGTTAAGGGAACCCTTTCTGATTTCTTTTAAAAATTGTTTTTTGATAAAACAGTATGAAATTAACTGAGGGCATAGAAATTAAGTGTTTCAAAAAGAAAAAGGTGTTGAAACATATATTAGTCCTATTAAATGATTTTAAATACTTGCTTCCAAAATGATGTCATTTGTCATTAAAAATCAAATTTCTGTTTGTTTTCATTCCTCAAAAACATGCAGTTTTAAATTTTATGAGTTTTTTTTTATTCTATCATTAAAGAAGATAAGGAGAAAATAAAAATTCCAGTGAAGAAATGCAAAGTGCTTCAACAAAGTTAAGAAGGTCTATCATATTTGGTCAGTAATTTTTGAAGTAGTACATATAAGATGTCATGAGCACTCTCCTGAAGATGAAACTCATTTAAATTTAGGGTAGAGTAGTTCCTGTATCAGAAGATACACATGAATAATTCTGATCACAATATAATTTTCTGATTTATGTGAATAAAGAAATCCCAAGCATAAGCATAACATGATGGAGTGCATAAAACTGTAAAAATAAATAAAAGGAAAAAAATCCCATAAAACAGTCTTATATAATGAATAAAAATTCAGTCTAGAGGAAATCCTCTTGGGGTTGAGGGTTGTATTGTGGGATATAATCAATTTGAAACAATAGTTTAAAACATAGAGAGCTGGTTATTCTGTTTTTAATTATTTGAACCTATGTCAATATCAACCCTCTTATTTATTTTTTTCAAGATAGTTGATTCATGACATTTTTGCTGTAGGACCTATACACTTTTACAGGTTTCTATTTATTTTATTTGCTTGGTCATGTGTTTGAAAGAACCTAGGCTATATGTTGAATTTTTAGTTTAAAAACCACTTTATAGCAAGAGCAAGTCCAACACATCATATCATATTGTCTTAAAAAAAAGTAGGCACCATCTTCCTTCATTTATAGCTGAAATTTTTAAAATAGTATTAGGCTTTCCTATCACTTATTTAATTAGTTTCTCCTATAAAATTTCCTTTCCTAATTGCATTATTATAACTTGCCAGAGTCTGGGATTTGGTGGAAAGTCTCCTGGAAGGTAAAGATATTTTTGTTACTCTAGAAATAATGAATATACAAAGTCTTCTTCCTTGATTTTGCCTTGTTAAGAAGATAACATCACAGATTTTCTGCAGAGGTTTTAAAGAGGTAATGAAGAGGGAATTAAATGTTTTATAAATATTACATAGTAATGTTTTTGAGGACAAAATAAGCTGGATATAAAGCAGTGCCATAAAATGTTTTATGGTTATAATGTGAATCTTCTGTAAAAAAGAAATACATATTCAATTTAAGCACTGTTGCTCTTGAGTTAAAGAAGAATTTTATTTTATGTAGAATTTCATGTGTTTTTTAAAAAGATAATCGTATAAGCTATTATCTGCCATTTCCCTTAACATCTCTTTTATTTTGTAATTGGCACCATTATTGTTTGCAAATCATTCCCACAAAGGTTCACCCTTTTATGATTAAGTTGCATCTTAAATATTGTGTACACATGCTATTTTTTAACTTTAATTTTAAGACATTTTAAATGAAACTTTATTTTTCCCAAAGATATATTTCAGTGCTTAGTCAGAGATACATTAAACTTATTATGTCTGTTAGGTTCTCTTATAAAATTAAACTTCTTGGGTGGTAATTTAATTAATAGTCTTTTGCTGAATATATTTTCTCAAGTTCCTTTGAACTAATGTATATGACTCACTAGAACCTGCTGTTTAGCAGCTTTGATTTTGAAACCACACTTCTCTATGTAATTCAGGCTATATAAAAAATTCTTTTCTAATTATTTTCTTGCTTTTTCAGTTATTGTATATGTGTATATGTGAATTCACATGTGGAATTTTTTAATATCATTGGAAATTGAGTTCAGTTAATCAGTTAACTGTAATATTAGTTTCCAACTGTTATTTTCAGTTTGCCTCTAAGTTTTTCTCAGGTCTTTGACAAGTAATTTACCATTTCTGTGTCTCGGTTTTTTCCCTCTATTGTACATGATCAAAATTATACTCTTTTCCATTAGGGACTTATATAAATAACTACTGAGCGATCATATTTTTTCCATATAAAATAGTAGGGTAGTGGTATTATTTAGTAATACAAAGGATACATATATGTGGGCTCTGAAATAAGGGTTCCAGTTGGTAAATATGTTGTGGTAATAATACATGCTTATTTTTTGCTTTTCAGAAAATGTGCACGTCCTGTTTTTGTATCTAATTATTTCTAGAATATGGGGGACAGAAAACTTGAATTTGTTGAAACATGTTCTCTAAAATAATTAGACTGAACTATTTGCACTAGACGTGAAGAATCTGAAAATGATCAAAGTCTTAAAGAGAAGGATGGTTTATAGTATCTTACAAATTTTTTAAAAATACTGCTTCCTTTTTGCCATTTGCTTTTAACATTTAATTAAAAATTATGTGGGAAGTTTCCAATTAAAATGTTTTTTTTTTTATGCTACTGAGGGCTAAAGACCAAAATGAAATTCTGTGTTGAAATTGTGAAGTCTTTTTAGGCATTTATCTCTTTGTAATGGATGTTCTTTGTTCTAGGTAGTTATGGCCCATGCAGTGATCTAGTCTTTGTTTTTGTTTCCACATTTCTGGCACATTTAATACTCAGTAAATGCTTGGTAAATGAATGACTACTTCATAATAACTAATGACTGATTATTCTTTGCTGAATTAATTAAAAAAATGTATACTGTTACAATTTATTCCTAGAACAAATTCGTCATTAAATAGAAGTATTTGGTGAAAATATTTAAAAGCCTTAATAAAGGAGGATTGCTTTTATGTCATTAAAGAATAGGGGATTATTTGTTTCTGTGTATTAGGGAAGGAAATAGGAACTACAGACTTGAGATTAGTTAGTTGATGCATCAGTGTAATAATAGAAATGAACTGATCCCTCTTCTTGATCATACTTGACTTGCAAAAGATAGATTTTTAGATACAGGTGGGCCTTTCTTCTAAGTCTTCATTAAACTATCAAATTAAGAGTAAGACCAAACTTTTAGACCTCAAATTTTACTTTAACTGTGCAAACTCAGTGTGACACATTTTATTACTTAATGGGAGATAGGAGAGAGGAAAAAGGTTTCTAAAACTAAGAACCCTAGAATCCATTGTTGCCTTGAATAGCATCTTTAATTTTATCTTGTATTGTTGCTATTACTCAGACACATTGAGTGTAGGAAATGATCTATGAAGCTATTTCACTTTTATAGCTATGTCCACACTATTAAACGCTTATTACTATATTCTCCTTGAGTATATGGCAAATTACATAGATATTTAACCATTTTAGTTATGAGATGAGGATGTCTGTTTGGTCTCTTAACAATATTATTAGCACTTTTATTTAGTTCCCATTTTAAACATCTGGATTCTGAGTGTTCCCCCCGAAATTAAATTTAATTGTATCATAAGCTGTTGGAACACCAGCAAGAATTTATATTTATCAGATTTGTATTCCAAATATTAGTCTTTGATTACTCAGATGTTTTTAAATTACCTGTTTTGTTCTAACATAGATGGAGGCTTATTAGATTGCCTGTGTCATAGTTGAGAAGGTGTTTTCTCGTAGAGATTTTATTAGACTGGAGAGTAAAGCTAAGATTAGTTATAACTTCAGTTACGATATTCATAGGACATTGGTTTGCTAAAAATGGATTGTTTTAAATTACTTAAAAAAATAAAACCTGGTGTTATTTTTTAAGAACAGTTGAGATTACAGCTGATAGATTTCTTAAAACAATTAGCATGTATTATTTTATTTTGATTACATACTTGTTAGTTTATTTCTTGTGCAATTTATCACATAATAATCATTCTTAATGATAAAATTTGCATACTCATGTAGGAGTTTCATGATTGTAAGTGATGGTGTAAATTATATTATTTGGCTACTTATGAATTAAAACTTAGAAACAACTACAAGTTTTAAAATGATTTGTGTCTTCTAATAAATTTCAAATGTTGTAAAAACAGACATTCCTGTACAAAGACATTTCTGTACAAGCTTCTGTTTTTATTCTTTGCCTCTATCAGCAATTACAAGGATAAGTTTTAGGTTTTTGTTTTACTTGTTTTGTCTTGTATTCCTGAGTCAGTGGTTAGTACTACTGAATTACTGTATTCTAAAGGACTATTTCTAAAACTTGGATTTTAATATTTCTTTCAGTTATATGTGGTAAAATGTATCCTCTCGTGTCACCCTGACAGCCTTTGTGTTATACCGCTTTCTTCAAGTTTGGCTGTTACTCTCTCTGGTATATATTTAACTTGGCTTTTCACTCTTGAAAGTATAACCATCTTGAAGGCATAGTCTCTGTTTCACTTACCCTCATAAACCTTTATGTTCTCGCTCCAAGTTACTGAACACCAACCCCCACCCTCACCAACCATGATGGTTAGTGGCTGACACACTTCATAGGAAGGTGTATTATGGAATCATTGCCAGGATATTAAATCTGACTAATTGTTATGTTAGATTTAATATAAAAGACAAAGAGCAGCATACAAAGATTTCTCAGAAGACATATGGACTTCCTGTACTCTTGGCTTGAAGAAATAATGCTGCCTAACTCCTTTAACAGGGTTCACATCAAAAGAGAAGAAAAATCTGGCATTCTAAATCCAAACTGATGAAGCTTTAGGAATTAAATGTAAACAAGGAACATAATTATGAACTCTTTGAACCTTTATTTTCTTAGATATTTAACTATTCTTTTATTTTTATATATAATTTTAATAACGATTATAGAAACAGTTGCTTTTGAAGGAAATTCTGATATGATTAGTGAATAATATCTAATACTGAAGCAAGATTAAAATTCAGTAAAGTTAGAACACCTATTTCTGTCACTTTCTGGAGTGTTTAACATAATTACGTCTTTATTTTGAGAAATACTAATAAATCTCCATTTTGTTTAGTACACAGTTGATTTTAACTTTTTGATATCTTTTACAAAGGTATTGTTTATGAGCTCATCTTTAGTAATGAAAGCTTAATTTATTCTTGAAAACATGGTGGTTTAATTGTATTAACTTTTAAAAAGCTACTTAATTGGATAAGCTTAATACTACACATAAAACTCTATAAGAATGCAAATAGTTAATACATGAATAATGCTAGAATGTATAAAGAATTCAGTCTGATTATTGATTAACAAAGATGTTTTTCTTTCCTTTATTATCAAAGATAAGTAGGAAAAAAGGGAGCACATATATTGCAATTATTTAAAGTTTTAAAATATATTATCCTTTATGATATATTTTTAAAAGTAGATATTTTGGTATGATACAATCTTAGGAATTTGAATGTAGACAACAGAAAATTAAAAGTAAAAAAGTGGCTATACCTAAATAGAAACTTAATCATACATGTTTTGTTTCAGTGTTTTAAAATCTAGACTATGTCCACTACATAGAAAAACAACAATTTAATGTCCCTAAAACTGTGAATTCTGAAGTAATAATGAAATGATTAAACAAGCTTAAACAGTTTCATGGAAATATTGTGTCCGTATTAAAATTTATTTAAAAGTGTCATGTCCATTAGTTCTCTGTTTGCTTGAGTTTAGAATATATAGGAAGTCGTTACATAATTGCTAACCCAAACAACTACAATACGTGAATCTACTAAGTTCGTGTGTGTGTGTGTGTGTGTGTGTGTGTGTGTATGTTCTGTTACATACAGTGGAATGCATAATGTTAAGTGAATAAATTGATGACTTTTAACAAAAGCATGTACTCCTATAACCCCCCATTTCTAATACGATCTGGAACATTTTCATCACTTCCAAAAATTGTGCTGTTTTCCAGTCATTCTTTCCAAAGGCACCTACTTTTCTATTTTTCAAACTTATGTTACTTTTTCTTTTCCTCTTGTAGAATTTCATATGAATTATATGTTAATTTTTATTTGATATCAGCTGTTTCTAATGGGTATGTGAAGGAATCCCACTGTGGTTTTAATTTGTATTATTCTGATTTATATTGATATATAGGGATGTTGATAGGCAAGTCAGTTAATCTCTGTGGATCTCTGTTTTCTTATTTTAGGAGAAGAATTTAGGCTATATCATATCTGAGGTCTAACACACTAGCTCTGATAATCAAAAATTATATGATATTCCAAGTCCCCAAGTCCATACTGCTTAATTTGTTTACATTCTCTCACAAGCCCTCCATGGAAACACATTCTGTCAGTAACATTCCTCTCTAGGCTACTCTGTATGTAGAATGTAATTATATTTTCTTCAGTCTCCAAAAAAAAAAAAAAAATCTCTTAGAGTGAAAGCTGTTTTCATGTTTGGTGTCTCATTTACCTAAATAGGAGGGGAAAGTAATTTAATTCACAACTCCTTCTTTCATTGATAAATAGCAAATACTTTTTTCTTTTTAAAAATAAATATATTGAGATCCAGTGTTCGAACTGCAAAATCAGCCATTTTTAGTGTAGAGCATAATAATGACTTTTACTACATTTGTTAAGTGATTTGCTATCACTAAAATCCAGTTTTACAATATTTCCATCACCTCAAAAACTTCTATGCCTGTTTACTGTCAAACCTAGTTTCCACCTTCAGCCTTAGGCAACCTCTGCCAACATTTCCCTACCAGTTCCTCATAGCCTATTTACTTTCCTGTCCTGCTCTTTTCATCTTAATATTACCATTATACATATTTCTTGTTACAGATTTTTTTTTTTAATTTTTTTCCTAAAGGCAACAAAGATTCTTTTTCTGATCCAAGCTTTAGTCAGTCTCCTGAACCTCCTCCTAGGCTCCTCTGTGTACTTCTTTGTAAAACACAGGTTTAGCAAGAACTCTGCTAAGTCACTTTTATTTTTTAATCTTTAACGTTAGTTTTTATTTTTGTAATGTTTTTCTCATACAAATAATTTTTACCTCTCAGTTAATCTCACCTTTTCACTCAATTTCAGGTATTGTCCTGAATTTCTGGCCTCTAAGATCTCTTAATTTTAATGCTGTTTTAATCCTGTTGTGTGTTTTTTTGTTTAATTTTTTTATTGAAGTATAATTAGCATATAGTGTTATTATATTAGTTTCAGCTGTGTAATATAATGATTTAACAATTCTATAAATTGCTCAGTGTTCATCACAGTAAGTATACTGTTAATCCTCTTTATCTGTTTCACTTATCCTTCCACCCACCTCCCCTCTGGCAGCCACCAGTTTGTTCTCTATATTTAAGAATCTGCTTTTTTATTTGCCCTTTTTTCTTTGTCTGATCATTTGTTTTGTTTCTTAAACTCCATGTATGAATGAAATCTTACTCTACTTGTCTTTCTCTGACTTATTTCACTTAGCACAGTATCCTCTGGCTCCATCCAGTTTGTTCCAAATGTCAAGATCCCATTCTTTTTTATGGCTGAGCACTAATCCAGTGTATGTACACACACATACACACCATCTCGTCTTTATCCATTCATTTGTCAGTAGACACTTAAATACTTGACTTGCTTCCACATCTTGTCTATTGCAAATGATGCTGCCGTAAATATAAGGGAGGATATATCTTTGAATTCATGTTTTTGTTTTCTTTGGATAAATACTCAGTGGTGGAATTATTGGATAATATGGTAGTATTGTTTTTAATTTTTTGAGGAACCTCCATATTGTTTTCCAGAGTGGCTGCACCAGTTTGCATTCCCACCAACAGGGCAAGAGGATTCCTTTTCCTCTACATTCTTGTAACACTTGTTTCCTTTGTTTTTGATTTTAGCCTTTCTGACAGGTGTGAGGTGACACCTCATTGTAGTTTTTTTTTTTTTTA